CTCTCTCTGTGCTTGACTGCAGATGGCCGCGGTCCACCTCACAGCCACAATCTCGGTCTCGCTTGCAAAGTGGCTCTCCTGTTCCCACTCTTTCCTCTTCATTGTCTGAAACATGCTCATCTTTATTGCCGGAGACATGTGAACAAACTCTCCAGTTTGCCGCGCCACGGCTAGTTATTGTGTGCCATCGACCGTGTGCACCATATCGTTGCTCATCCGGGAATCAGGAGCCTGCTTCTTTGTCTGCCCTGACGTTCTCTGTGCCTGCTTCACAGGTTGTTGCTGTTCCCTTGTTCCAGATGACAATATCTGCTCCTTTGCCCTCTGCAGATATTCCAATTTCCAGAGAACAATCGTGAGATTGTGTTTGATGCTGTGCAGCCACCATCGGAGATCTGTGGGTCACCTGCAGAGTGGGACCGATGATTCATGGGTCACCTGCGGAGCGGGATTCGGTCCCCACTCAGGCCCCACTGAAGGCACTAACCATCCCCACTGGGAATGCAGCCCCGGATGTCCCGTGTTGGACAATCATCATTTGGCTGAATGGCAAATTGCCCCACAAGGCATATACCACATAGCGACATAGGTGATCTGCGAATGACTGACCAGCGTACAGCCCAAGATGTATAACACATCGGTGGGGGGGCCCACACTGCACCCCCCCACCGAAAGGGACTGACCGGTGATCCCCACTGGGAATGCAGCCCAGCATGTCCCGGGATTGGGAAATCGTCATTTGGCTGAATTGCAAATTGCCCCACAAGGTGTAGAACACATCGGTGGTCTGCTAATTGCCACACAAGGAGTAGAACCAAGAACTTGTGAATCTGCAAATGACTGAGCAGCATGCATCCGAAGGCATTCCAGGCTTGAAACATCATTTGCATAACCTGCAAATCGTTGGCCAGTGCCCAGCACTCCACCCTTCTCACGACAATGAAGAACATCTCTATGATCCTTGTTCCCCTCATTCCGTTCACACACACACACACACACACACGATGAGTCGGTGAACGTCCGACGTAACAGTCTGGTACAGTCATGCGTTTTTTGAGTGTATAGCGAATATGACAACAGACACACACATGGTCGACGTGCCTCTGTGTTCCTAGCATGTACGAACCACGTAGCCTGTAACATCTGTCTGCGCCGTGGCATTCGATGCAGCAACTGTGACTGCGGAAATTGGATGCGGTGCTTCCATAGCCCACACCCGAACCGGTCCTGTCCGGGCTGTACGGGTGGCCACTCACCATAGTTTGTTTGTTTGTTTGTTTGTTTTTGCTAGAGTAGTCTCTTTCAGCGACGAATATTTAGAAATCTGTGAAGCCTGTCATACAGCTCTCCCCTGCTCTTTGCATGTCATACTCTATCCTGCCCTCCACATATTTCTTTCCTTCCCGTTGCCCCTACCTCCCCTGCCCCATACTCCTATAGAACTCTGCCTTCTATCCCTTACCCTCCACCCTCCCCTCCACCCTCCCCTCCACTTTCTTTGTACTACTAACAAATACATACGAATGAGCATCATTAAGAGAACAGACGATATGAAGATCAGAAATGAAATGAACGGAACTATGAAGATGAAGGACGGACAATGAGAGGCGGTTAATGGAAGGCCCAAAATTCGGTTTTATAGTACTCTTGATTTTGATTTTTTCGGTTTTTTTTGGCCTGATTGGTATTTTGATGTTTGTATTATGACCCTGCATAGTTTGTTCGCAAAAGTTTCGACAACATTGCTTGTAGCGACGCAGCGAAAACCCCCGAATTTCTGGCCTTCCATTAACCGCTAGTGCGGACACTAAGACTGTATAAGCTGAAGATCTGAAGTGAAATGAACAGGAGTATAAAGCCCTGAAGAGATGCTCAGGAGCATACCTTCCCTTTTACTCTGCCTCCTGAAATAACCTGCAAGTGGGCCGTGAAGGCACACGGGGATGTGGGCAGCTGCCGCTCAACCACAAACAACGTGGGCAGCCTTGTGCGTAAGAGGCACAGTAAAAGGGGAGCTGCAAGAACAATGAAAGGGGTACCCCAAGGACAACCAAAAAACTGTCTAATTATAAAATTGCTTTAATATGTTGGACATCTCAAATGCTCTCGTTGTCTGCAATAGGACAAAGACTGCTCTGATTCTGAATTGGGGCTGTTGTTGGGAAAATCTAAAACACAAACACACACATACACACACACACACACACACACACACACACACACACACACACACACAGAGGGAGACATGAGAGAGAGAGAGAGAGAGAGAGAGAGAGAGAGAGAGAGAGAGAGAGGGAGAAATGAGAGAGAGAGAGAGAGAGAGAGATGAGAGAGAGAGAGAGAGAGAGAGAGAGAGAGAGAGAGAGAGAGAGAGAGAGAGAGAGAGAGAGANGAGAGGGAGACATGAGAGAGAGAGAGAGAGAGAGAGAGAGAGAGAGAGAGAGAGAGAGAGAGAGAGAGAGAGATGGTGGTGAAGAACGTATAGACAAGAGGGCTGGTAAGGTTTTGCGCGTTGCATCGAATTAATTAAATAGTAACTATACAATGTAGCAATGGGAAGGAGGCTTTACGATTGAGCTCCTACATGTAGCAATAATGAGAGACCACCAACGTGAATGGGACTATGCCCAGCCTGGTGAAGTGCTTTCATCCCTCCATCCCACATCTCTGCCTGCATCGTACACGGGCCTGGCCATTACGTGGCGATTTTGTTCCATGCCGCTGACCACTGGGAGCTGTGGGACAACAGCACCATGATGGTCCATCCCATGGTTAATGGCGGCAATTTCTTGTGCGACGACAATCTTTTCGTACCTCTGCAAACAGTCTGCACACACTCCGGCGCTGTGCCGCAACAGGACAATTTGATTATTTATTATTTAAGAATTTAATAATTTACAAGTGGATGCCTATGGTTTTGGAGACCATCGTTAGGAAAACATTAAAAAAGAGAGAACACATTTCAATGTCAACGAATTTTCCGCTCCCCACTTCTCTGCCACACTTCTCTTTGGCTGGCTACCTTCTCCTCCCCCTCCCTGTCACCGTCCTCCTCCTCCCCGTAATGGATCTCCTCCCACTCCGACATCCTCGCCTCCGCTCCGCCACGCTCCTCCCCTTCCTCTCCCCCCTCCCCGTGATCCTCCTCCTCCTTGTCATCGGCCTCGGCATCCTGCTTCCCGTCATCCTCCTCCTTGTCATCGTCCTCCATATCCCTCCTGCATGTCATCGTGCTCTCCCCCCCCCTTCTCCTTCTCCCCTTCTCGTCTGTCCAGCTGAGAGCCACCTTCTCTTTCTCTCTTCACGTTCGATCCATCCGCTGCTGTTCCTCATCTTTCTTTGCCCCAAAGAAAGAAAAAAAAGCAAAAAAAGAAAAACAAAGGAAAGGGACCCCGTCATCGTTCTCCTCCTCTGCCACGCTGCTGCTCAGCTACCTTCCCCGTCGCCTCCCCCTCAGCATCCTTCTCATCCCCGTCACTTGGCCTCCTCCCACCCCGATCCTCCTCCCCGCCATCGTCCTCCAGATCCTCTTTCCCCTCATCATCCTCCAGATCGTCCTCCCCGTTGTTATCCTCCGAAGCTGCTTGCTACCATCATCACCGGAATAGAACTAGGCCACGCTCCTCCTCGGTTACCTTCCCCTCCACCCCCCCATCACCACCCTTCTCCTCTGCCATGCTCCTCTTCGGTTACCTTCCCCTCCTGCCTCCCCGTCATCATCACTTAGATCCTCGTCCCCGTCATCGACCTCCTCCCACCTCCATCCCCTTCTCCGCCACCGTCCTCCAGATGCTCCTTCCTGTCATCATCCTTTAGATCCTCCTCCCCGTCATCATCCTCCAGATCGTTGCCTCCTCCCCTCACTCCGACATTCCCACCTCCGTTCCGCCACACTCCTCCAGATCCTCCTCCTCCTCCTCATCTGCCTGCTCAGAGATAAAAAAGCAAAAAAAAGGCAAAAAAAAAGCAAAAAAAA